GCCAAATCAATTCCTCATTTCAAGACTATGTTATCATCCGCATATCCCTGAACAAGCCGAAATTAATATGCTTCATCTACAGCGCTGCTTCAAACAGTTCCTACACATGGGATATCTCAGATCTAGTCGAATTCCCAAAATTCATGAGGCGTGAGCAATTTGAACAACGTGCTATTTGTTCGTCATGGGTTGAAGATATAATTTTTAAATGTACACACTGGCCGTCAATAACTTGAACTTCTCTAGATGAGCAGTCAATTCTCGACAAACTCTGAGAGTCAAACGTCCAACATTTAATTAAAACCCTTGATGGAAACTCACTAGACGTTCTCCTTAAAAACAAAACGCATTTTGTCACTAGCGTAAAACTTGACAATCGTCTGAGAAGTCTAAATGGGTGAAAAGCGATTCCTCCAACCTCATCAAGTAATTAAATACACTTCAATTAAAAAATCAGCGAAAACCTACATCACCGAACGAGTTTTTTTTGTCCCTAGTAAGGTCAATTGTTCAAAGATCAACTACTTAGAAATTTGTATCGATTTTTAATTAGAACTAAGTTCTGAGGTTAATTTGGCTCACGAAACATGGCAGCAGGCATTTAAAACGATTGATGCTATAAAAAAAAATTAACCCAAATTTTCCTTGAAAACACTTCTTTAATGACTTGTTATTAGTCAATTTGATTACTCGTCCTTATTTTTGTATAATATTACTGAATTGCCCATAAGTTTGTTAGAAACGCAGGTGAACTGAGCTTTTTTCCTAGCCTGAAGCATATCATCGTGTCTTATTAAAAGGCAAGAAAACCCGAATTAGAGGTAAATCTTCAATTTATTCGCACGCATACATTAGAGGTCACAAAGGAGCGTTTTGTGGCGAAATCCAGTTTGAAACAAAAAATTTATTATTATCAATGAGAGAAAATCTAAGTCATCTTCAAGAATCATAGCACAACTGCTTTTTCCATATCGCTGCTACATAATGGACTTCACTTGAAAGGAGACAATGATTGAAAGACCACTGACTTCAAAAAAAAACTGATAATAAAGCATCTGGAAGATAACAAGAATTTCGTTTTGTTTAATTTAATTTGAAATATTAAATTGTCAATTTAATTTTCTAATAACTTAACATTTTTAGTTCAATTATTTATGAGCAGTTAATTCTCGACAAATTCTGAGAGTCAAACTTGCAACAACTAATAAAAACCCTGATGGAAAATCATTAGACGTTCTCCTTAGTAACAAAACGCATTTTGTCACCAGCGTAAAACAATCGTCTGAGAAGTCTATTCAGTTTCGACCATTTGCCACACAATGCCAAAGTCTCAATTGACTACCGACTTGTTCATAAAAAAACACCAGCCATCAAACAAAAACTAGACTTTGGCATTTTCGCGTACAGGAAAGCAAACTGGGAAGAAATGAGTGAATTCATTCGTCAACAACCCTTCCAACCACTTTGCTTGAGCAACGCTGAAATGATGGTCGATCTTTGGTACAAGTGGTTACACAAAATATCACAAGATCTGTTATCAATCACTACAAAACACAGGTCTGAACTAGCTCCTTGGGTGAGAAGCGATTCCTCCAACCTCATCAAGTAATTGAATACACTTCCATGAAAAAATCAGCGAAAACCTACCTCATCGAACGAAGGCAAAATTGAAAATCTGCAAAGTGAGCTAACACTCTCCCTTCTCAATGACCAGGATTTCCACGAAAAAATGCTTTTTGAGAATGGGAAATTCAGCAAAATTCAACGATATCTGAAATCGATCACCAAGTCTAGAACGATTCCTTCAGAGGTCTTCCTAGATTAAAAAATAGCCAATACAGACGATCAAAAAGTCGAATTGCTTAACAAATATTTTCAATCAGTTTTCACACAAGACGCCAACATTGGAAAAACAGAACGACAAGATAACGTTCTTCTGAACAGTATCAAATTCACTATCGATGAAATAGAAGAAACCCTAAACGAGCCGGACGTAAATAAGGCCAATGGACCAGAAAGATTGGTAATGATCTTCTGAAAACCTTATCAAAGTCACTATCAAAATCAATTCACTTACCGTTCAACTTGATTGCAAATAAAATGATATTTCCTACAAAAAGGAAGATTATTGAAATCACACCAATTTTCAAAGACGGGATAAACAAGACGTCTCAAGTTACAGGCCTATCAGCCTGCTCTCATCAGTGTCAATACTGCTTGAGAAAGTAATTTTTGAAAAACTGGCCCTAATTGTCTACCAACCCTAATATCAGACCAACACGGCTTTAGACCTAACCGATCGACAATAACAAACCTAATAGAGTATCTACAAGAGTTATTTGGCTGCCTAGATTTGCCAAACTGCAACTACCTGGACAACTTCTAATTGACTTTCAAAAGGCATTTGACAAAGTTTTGCACGGGATCCTCATAGAAAAGTTACCGACGTCTAGAGTTAGAGGAAATTGTTTATCTCTGATACACAGCTACCTCTCGAACGGGAATCAACCAGTGAGGCTGAATGACACAATTTCCGGAGAGCTGGAAGTCTTCAGCGGCGTTCCCCAGGGCTCTATACTCGGGCCGCTTTTCTTTCCAGTCTTCATAATTAATCTACCGTCCTGTGTCAAGTCCGCAATTTTTGGTTATGCAGACGACTACACAATTGTTGGAGACAACCCTTTAACTCTCAATATATATCTTAGGAGACTTCAGAGGTGGTGCGAGGAAAACTGCATGTCAATGAACCTGACGAAAAGCAAAACCTCCTTATCAAAGGATCAGCTAAGGTTGCACTCCTCAATTACAGCTCCGAAACCACTGAAGTAACAAAAAATCTGGATATCCTGATAAACGACAGGCTCTCTTGGACGCAACACGCAGAAAAGATGGCTGAAAAAACCTTAAACGCTCTCTTCGTACTGAAAAGAAATCTCTCAATGGCAAATTTCGCGACCAGAAAAAATGCTTTAATCTGAGACTTGTACCATTTCTGAGCCATGGTTTAGCTATCTGGAAACCATCAAAAGAAAATTAGGAACCATTGAAAGTGTGCAGCGGAAAGCGGTCTTGTGGATTTTCATGTCAAGCAATAGCCATATCTCTTATAAAGACAAACTCGTAAAACTCAACATCCTTCCTTTGTCTCTGTACCTAGAGCTTCATGTTGGACTGCTGTTGGCAAAAATACTAGCTGGAAAAGTTGAAATCGACTGAAGAAGCCATGTAAGCATCAATGAAGTTGGAAACCGAAGAGCTGAAACGACACGAAATTTTGTCTGCAAACAAATGCGTCTGAGGAAGTGCCAGTCGGATTTCTGGTTTCGGGCATGTCGTTATGCTAATCTGTACATTGAATACTTCAAATGTGACATATTGTTTGACCCAGAATGCAAAAACAGACTTCTAGGAATGTACGCGAAATTTTTCAAAACTCGTCACAACGAATCAGATACATGCACTTGGCGCATTTTATGCGCATGCAATAACTGTAGAGACCTAAAGAAACGTACACTTATAACTGAAAATAAATAAACTTTGAACACTGCAATGACCGGGTTGAATGCGAACCCTTGGATTTTATTCCTTAATCCTTTGTTATTCTTATCATTATTATATAGTTGTTGAACGTTTTTTGGTATTTTTTACATTGTGTTGAGGATTACCCTGCTAGATCTGAGATACATGTTTCAATTGGATAAACAATTGAATATAATTTCTTGTGCGTAACTCGATTCTTAAAAATTGCAGAGAAATCAGTATAAACCAAAGAGATGTTTGACCGTTTCAGTGAATTTTTTTCACTGTTCTCAAAAACTTCCCTGCCAAATCAGGTTGAGAATTCAATGGAAAGAACAAGTTTTTGAGATTTGGCCTGCTTTAGAAGAGAAAGGGCTATGGAGTAACGGTAACTTTTAGTTCTTCTGACCTTATTTTGGAAATTTTTTCAGTTTTCTCAAATTTATCCTGCTAAATCAGATTAAGAACTCAGTTAAAAAAAAACTTTATTTGCCAGTTGAAAATATTTTCAAATGTCTAAGTGTAAGTCAAATTGTGATGATAATAATGATAATCTTTGTCAAATATACCCAAGATTAGTAATACAAATTTACGCATTGAATGATAATATCATTATCTTTCGAGATTTCCATTAAAGAAATTTGAAATATTTCTATGAAGTTTTTCCATAGGTTACCACTGTTGGATCTTCTTTAAATAATAATAAATAATAATCCTTAGAAGTTGTTTTTGCTTTTCTGTACGTAAAGATATTCTTGAACTTAATTTGGTCATCATGTAACCTGTTCCAAATTGTTACTGATTTAAAAAAAAAGAATTTTCGATGTATTGCCAATTAAATCTTTCGACAAAAATTCCCTGCTTTCAGTCGCTTTTGCCGTTTTCTTGCTTGTGTACCCGAAGAGCAGCTTCGCCTCTCTTTTTAATACTTATTTCAAGTCGGCCATTTGCTGGTTGTGTGTTCCTCTAATTAAACATTGATCGAAACAAACTTTTTGTACTTTTTGGTTTTTAGACCTTCTTTGTTATTTCCGACTGGTTTTCGTTGCAATTATTTGTCTGCTAGCTTCCAATGCTATGTTTTGGTCATATCGCAAGGGCAAAAGTTTTCCGAGAGCTTTTTTCTTAACGTGAATTAAGGCGATTAAAGCTTTAATTCTCAAATGGGGTATTGCTCATGGCGCAGACAAGGAGAGATAATTGGCTCAAATTAGATCGTTGCGCCGTGGAAACAAACTGAAATAACAGTTCTAGTTTCTTGGTCTTGTTAATATCTCTAATAAATATAGATTTCTGTTGCTGGATAACTTCTGTTATTCGATGCATAAAGTAAGATTCGATATCCCAAGTTTATATGTGTGGTCCAGTTGCATGGGTTGCAGATAAGTTCAAAGCAGTGTACTCCATTATGAAAGGCTTTTTTTCCCCGAATATAAGTTTTTTTTACCGATGTTTCTATTGATTTTTTTAAATTCAGAGTGAGGGATGAAAAAGCAACAACAACAGTCTCTCATTAATTTTTTTTCGCCGACTGGCGTAAAGACTCTTGCGAAGGCTTCGCCTGTCCCGCAATCTGTGACTAAAAAACTGAAAACTCCGATCATCTCAGGACATGACAAATATGGAAAAATACGTGTTGAGGAAATTGGCGATTCAAGTGAAAATTTCTCGCAACTATCCGAACCTTTAAGCGAAGATGTTAATTTGGGTAATACTGAAAAAGAATCAGATATTAAAAATTCAGATCTCGGTAAACCCTCCAGAAATACTGAAAGCGAATCCCCTGTTAAGAAAACTCCGGTTGCATCGAAAAAGTACAAAAGGATAAGAATTGAGGATAGTGATGAAGACGATGGATCAGATAGTTCGCAGCTTGCTGAAACGGAACAGTTAAATAAGAGCTTGTGTACACCTGTTGCCAAGTCCCGAAAAGTTCAACCACCTTTAGAATCTGAAAGCCCTTCACAGCTACTAAGCCCTTTCTCGTTTTCATCAGCAACACCTGTAAATGCAAAAGAGTCGAACATCAATTTCAATGAAAGTTTCACTTTCCAAAAAACTCCGAAGTCCAAGTCTCTGAAAAAGATAGAAGTCGCCGAAGATGCAGAAAATGATACGTTTAAACACCTGGGTTTTAAATTTCTGAAGATGAGTCAGGTCAAGGACAAACTGATGCGTCCTGTTGATCACCCTGATTATGACCCGACGACATTGCATGTCCCGAAAGACTTCTTGAATGATCAAACACCTGGACATCAGCAATGGTGGATGTTCAAGTCTAATTATTTTGACACTATTTTGTTTTTTAAAGTGGGCAAGTTTTATGAATTGTACCACATGGATGCAGTTACAGCTGTAGAAGAACTGGGGCTAACGTATATGCGCGGAGATTATGCCCATTGTGGTTTTCCTGAGATTGGGTTCGACAAATTCTCAGATATCCTGGTCCAAAAAGGATACAAAATAGCCAGAGTAGAACAGACTGAAACGCCAGATGAAATGCAGTCACGAATTTCGAAAATGTCTAAGAGTGGCAAGAAAGTGATGAAATATGACAAGGTGGTGGCGAGAGAACTTTGTCAAATTACAACAAAAGCAACTCAGTTGCCAACATCAGTTAATAATCAGGGAACTTCTCAATCTTGTGCGAACAATTTTCTCATGGCAATTGTTGAAAAAACTGGCGAGTTTAATACGAGCAGTTATGGAGTTTGTTTTGTGGACACAAAAATTGGAACTTTAAATTTTTCACAATTTGCAGACGACCGATTTTCTTCACTTCTGCGTGTTTTCTTTTCTCATTTATGCCCAGTCGAAATAATACACCCCAAAAGTAATTTGTCAGCGAAGACTATGCAGGTCATAAAATCTCTTCTTCCTTCGGTGAAACTTTTTGCTTTGAAAAACGAATCCCAGTTTTATAGCGGTGTAACTGCACTGAAAAAAGTCCAAGAGAGTTCTTATTTCGATAATGAAAAACAATGGCCTGAGCTGCTGCAGAAAGCATCCCAAGACGAACTGCACCAGTGCGATAAAATTGACTCGCAATACGAATTGGCAGTGAATGCTTTTGGAGGAATCCTGTTCAAATTGAAACAGTTTTTGATTGACTATGACATAATCACCCTTGGTGATTTTGTGCTTGTAGAGCCTCCAATCCCAAGTGAACGCTTGAATGCTCACAATTCATTGAGTAGTTTGAATACTAGTGCAACCAATTCTCGGACTTTTGCTCGAGGAGCGAAGATGATACTTGATTCATCGACCATTGCGAACTTGGGTATCGTGGACAATTTTGGGAAGTCTAATTTCACTTTGCTGACTACACTTGATACTTGCATGACACCATTTGGTAAAAGGATGCTCAAACAAGTTTTATGCTCACCGCCTTGCGACCCTTATTGTATAAAAGAGCGCCAAGAAGCTATAGTTTGGCTGATGAATAACCGCAATGAATTCGTAGAAAAAGTTCAAAATGTTCTTCAAAAGTGCCCAGATCTAGAGCAGCTACTGTGTCGTGTTCATTCATTGAGTGTCGATCGATGTGCTACAGACCATCCCGATTCACGAGCAAACTTTTTTGAAGTATCGGTATATAAAAAACGTAATGTTCAAGACTTTGTCTTGACGTTGAACACACTTAAAAAATGTCTAGAAATTGCCCGAATTTTCGGAAAGTTGGACTGCGAATCTGATTTACTGAATTATTTATTGAGCAGCAAAAGTGAAGGAGGTAAGTTTCCAAGTGGTATCGACGAGTTCATTGGAAACTTTGAGTCGTCGTTTGACCAAAAAGAAGCATGCGAAACAGGTGAGATACAGCCTAAACCGGGCTTGGCTGAAGCTTATGACAGAGCATTAGAGGAACTTGCGAGAATCAAAAATGAAAGTGAAAGATACTTACGTGAACAGAAAAAGATGTTCAGGTGTGAAAGAATTCAGTACGCAACTAGCAAATCTTCTCAGTTTCAACTAGAAGTTCCAGCTGATGAAGTTTCCAGAGTTCCTGATGAATATCAGTTTGCTTCTAAGCGAAAAGGATGGGACAGGTTCCAAACAACCGAGACGTTGAGGTTTGTACAACGGTGGACAGCCGCTGAAAGTAATCGTGACGAGTCTTTGAAAAATCTAGCTCGACTAGTGTTCAGCGATTTCTCGAAAGAATTCGCGAAATGTTCAAAAGTCGTCCGTTCAATTGCAACGCTGGATGTTCTAATCGCCTTGGCAGAATTTAGTAGAACGGCAGACCCTGTTATGTGTCGCCCTCAGGTTTTAGACCAATGGGATACATTTCTGGACATTAAAAACGGCAAACATCCGTGCATGGAAAACGTAATGAAAGGAGGTTACATACCCAACGACATGAAACTCGGAAAAGGTTTCGGTGATCCAGAATCGCAATCATGTGATTCGCAAACAAAAGGTTCTTACTTGGTTCTACTGACAGGGCCAAATATGGGTGGTAAATCAACTCTAATGCGTCAAACTGGTTTGTTGGTGATTCTGGCGCAACTAGGTTGCTTTGTTCCAGCTGAGAAGATGTCATTTACTCCTGTAGACAGAGTTTTCACGCGACTGGGGGCAATGGATCGAATATTGTGTGGAGAAAGTACCTTTTTTGTTGAAATGAGCGAAACTTGTGTGGTGCTGAACTATGCCACTCGACACAGTTTGGTGCTGCTTGATGAGCTTGGCCGTGGTACGTCAACATTTGACGGAACCGCCATTGCTTCGGCTGTTGCACGAAAACTTGCCAATGAAATTGGATGTCGAACTTTGTTCTCAACCCACTATCATTTGCTTGTTTCTGATTTCCGAGACAACCCGAGGGTTTTTCTGGGTCACATGGCATGTATGGAAGAAGACACCGAAGAGGAAGATGAAGATGGGGTCACTGAACAGCGCGTGACCTTTTTGTACAAATTTGTTCAGGGGTCATGTCCTAAAAGCTATGGGTTCAATGCTGCGAGAATGGCCGGGATAGATAGCTCAATCACGAGGCAGGCCCAGCAATATTCGAGCCAGTTGGAAGATTTGTTCTTAGAGAGGCAAAAGTTTATTCATTTTGGAAAACTTTTTGCCAACCTTGAAGTAACCAACTAACTTAACTGAGTTGAGTTTTCTTAATGACTGATTTGAGAAAGAGTTAGCAACTCTGAGATGCGATTTCTAATGATGAGCTTGAATTTGAATTGCAATAATCGCTGATTGATTTGATTTTGAATTAATTTTGTTTGAATACTTTTTAAATCGTTATGCGCATCGTGAAATTTATTTTTCTGAACGAAATTAGAGGATATGCGACCAGCGAATTGTTTCCGTGCGTTTAAAACTATTCTGTCTTGTCTCATTCACCGTTAAAACTAGCAGGATCCAGCAATTTTTTACGGTGATTTAGTATTAATTTCTATTTAATTTCTAAGAGGTTAAGCAGAAGACACTTCAAAAATAAAAAAGGTTAAGAGATTTCAAAAGTTTTTGTGTCATCTAAATTTCCAATTACTTTTTGTTCCATTGTTGATGTTGTTTTTCCACTACTGCAATGCTTGTGTTATATTACAATTTGATTTTTTTTCCAATGTGATTCGAACATTTCTGATTAAAAGTAAAGAACGTAGTGAATAATCTTAAACAGGTCATGGTGATTTTTTTTCAGGAAAAAGACTAAATATTCTACTAAAAATTTTTAATGCATATTAATGTATTTGTGAATGCTTTTAGGTGTATATGAACTTTTTGAGTTCAACTCTAATTCAAAAGTTAGGTAAATTGCGCTCTTCAAATACGAAAGTCGAATTGGCGCGAAAAAAAGATGTGAATGACCACGTGTTTCGAAAGTGGATTTGATTTTTACGTTTTTCAGTGGAATGAAACTTAGCCTGTTAATCCAGTTTCCTCGAATTGATTTAATTTTATCAAAAAAGTGTCAATTATAAATTATTCCTGAAATTCAAAGAGCTGTAAAGCCATATACTTTTTAATGTGAAATTAAATCAATACTTTTAAAATCATGCCATGCGTTCATGACTCTTTTCCAATTGTCTGCTGGCTGTTTAGTTTTAATGAAATTTTGAATAGCTGTTTTCGATGTATTAGTTATTTTCATTAGTTTTGGTTATGTTAGTTCATGCTTTTTCCTCAAGCTTATTCTTACTTTTAAGAGTAATGATCGGAGTGAAGACTCTTATATAGATCTTGCTGATTTTTTTGTTTTTTTTTTCAGGAAAAAATCTTAAAATAGTAATGCACTTAGGCATAATTCACTTTTTGAGTTCAATTGAAATTTATCTGCTGAAAATGACATAAATAGCACTCTCCAAATACGAACGTGGAAATGGCGCAAAAAACGTGAACGATTTCTAGTTTCGAAACTGGAATTTATTTTTCAGATTTACCAGCGGAAAAAAAACTTTACCTATTGATTCAGTTTTCTCTAGTTGGGTTTATGTTGTCAAAAAAGCGTCAATCATGAATTGTTCTGGAAATTCAAAGAGCTTAAAGGTCATCTATGTTTTTATTTGAAATTCGAAAGTTGAGATTTTTTCAAGAAAGTCAGTGTTTTTTTATGTTTGCTTGCGTTCATTACTCTTTTCCAATCTTCGATTGCTTATGTTTTTCTTTAATTTTTTATGCAAATAAATTTAAAATTTGTTTTAATTCGCAAAAAACGTTTGTTTCTTGTGCCTGTATTTTCTTTGCGGGAATTGAAACTTTTCGAAAGGTTTTATCCCCAAAATATTTGTCAACAACCTTTTTTTTGGTCAACGGCTGTCTGCCCAATTGTTGTCGGTTTCATTAGTTTTTCATCAATTTCATTTGTTTTTTTATCGCAAGTAATGCGAAGCTCCGCTTCGCCTCTGTGAAATGCTTCGAATTCTTTTCATAGTTTGAAGTATCTTTTGATTTGGTTTTTTTTTTCAAATTGATGTAGTCGAATGGAAAGTCTCAACATGAAAAGATTCATGATTTTCAAATAGTCGTTTCTTGGGTTCATTAGCAGTTTTCAGAGCAATCGTCTTTTGGCAAGTTTACGTTTTGCTGATCAGGTCATATCCTATCGTCGTGTGTTTATTCGGTCTGTTTTTAGGTCTTAAGCAATTGTATACATGACGGTATAATTTGGATTTTTCTGAAATATGATCTAATTGATGGAAAAATGTTGGAAAAACTTTTAGCCCCAGTTCTTCCGAATTACTTTCATCACCTAGCTTACATTGGTCAGTAAAATTTCTTTCAGTAATTAGGATTTGTGTATGTGGAAATCTGCTCCTCTTGAACTCTATTTTTGAAGAAGTGTTTTCAAGTAAGATTATTTCACCTTTCTTCGCATGAAGGCTTTCATGTTTTGTTGCAATGTTCTTAATCAAAAGTCCATTTTCTGTGGGGAAATTGTCTATTCAAACTGACTGCTGGTAGCATTCATTTTTCCTTGAATTTGAGTAACATACTGTTTTTGCGAAAAGTTGTTGTTCCGACCATTGAAAATGGGAGGAACTTTGTTTGGGTGTGATAAGCAATCGGTTACTAGACTTTTTTCCCGTAAATATCTTTGTTTACAGAATGGTCAAAATTAGAAATAGTAAATTTAGATTCAGTTCATAATAATATCGTATTTCATTGCGTCTCCGGCGCTCGTGGTACGAAAGTAACGAATAGGCGTGGGATGGCAAAGATCTTGGGTTCTAATCTGACAAGACCTTTTTTTTTCAAACGGGAAATATTCCGTTTGAAAATGTAGGCTTATTATTTGCCTGCTTATGTTTTGTCGTCTTAGTTACCACGTTGTAGAGTTTCTTTCTCTTTGCTGTTCGCAATTATATCGTAGTTGCTTATAGTGTTTTGATTTTTTTCAGCTATCTGTAATTTTACTAACCTTGATTTTCGCTTAAAACAAACTTTTTCTGCACAAATGAGTTCGGCTTATATTTATCGGCTTGTTGACCTAATTTTGAGCAGTTTCAGGAAATTGTAAGTTTTTTGCTCCCCTCTGGATGGCCTTAAGTGCTAAAAAACTCTGGATGGCTTAAAGTGCTTAAGTCAGCTTAAAGAGCTGACTTAAGAATTTTAGTTCGACTTTTTTTGAATTTTTTTTCGGCTTTTTTAAAGTTTTTTTTCGGCTTAAAAGGTTTCAGCTTATAATATATCGGCTTAGTGACCTGATATTTTTTCATTTGACGAGCAAACAAAATTTGATGTGTTTTTGTTTTGTGGGACTTAATATTTTTTATGTCTTCATTTTTTTACTGACAAGGTTTGCCAAGGTATTGTCAGCTTTATTACAGCTTGGTAATTTTTCTTCCGATGCTAATTTCGCATTATGTTGTTTTGGCATATTTTTATTTCAAAAATAGCCTTATTCAGTTCGATAGATCTAGTTTTTTTCAATTTTTTTTAGATTTAGCGGCTTTCTTGTTTTGTCTTGCAAGTGATGCGAAGCTCAGCTTCGCCTCTGTGTTAAGTTTTATGTTCCACGCAAAATCAGGTGTCACAAATAATCATCGGAATGGTTCGGGTTAGTATAATTTTGAAACCAGTTCAGTTGTGATTCGAACGACATCAAAAATGTCCCAAATTGCTTTCCACTCTCGAGAAAAACCGGTTTGAAACTTCTGACTCTGACTTTTCGTCTAATTTCGAGCTAGTAACGATCGTTATATGGAAAATTACTGTTTATTTGTGGTTGTTTATTTGTGGTACTTCACTAACTTTCTACGCCATCGTATAGTTCTCGAATCAGACCACCCTATGAAAATGATACTAATTTAAAGAAACTTAAAAAATCTATTGTTGTATGAATGTGGTAGGAAGGTTCTGTGCTACTTGTGCGTTCTGTGCTACTTGTGCGTTCTGTGCTACTTGCAGAGCAACCGGCTAGCCTTGATTTTTGTGTAATTGTTGTGAAAATTATTACGACTCAGCGGAGACATATTTCGCTAAAAGCATGCAGTGATTTAGATCTGTTTTCAAGAGCACAGTCATGGAAGTGACGTTTGCCTAGTTTTCATTGTACAATTTTTCCATTTGCTTTGGAAGATCAATTCAGTTCTGTCAGATTTAGTTTTAAATTATGCTGAAAAAGGTTGCCGAGAACTCTTTCGCCTGATATCATTCAAACTTTCGGTAGTTTCAGGTTTTTAATTTGGTTTTCAAATATTTTTTTGAGCGGAGAAGAGAAAGTTACGCTTTTCGAACTGCAAATAAAAATAATGCCAAAGAATGTTTTTTTAACAAAAATGAATTTTTCGTCGTTCTCAAACAATGGAGCTAGTGTTAGATTAAGAATCCATTTTTTTCTGGAAATAGTTGCTGAAAAATAGTGCTTATTTAGTAGCACTGTTGCTGCCTAGCAGTGGCAAATTAATAGCATGTGATTATCCCTCTTATTTAGAGTAATGAACGAAGTGAAGACTGTTATAAAAGTCTTCGTTATTTTTTTAAGGAAAAAGGCTGTATTTTGATTGTTCACGCTCAATTTTTTTGCGGTTTGATTTCTTTTCAAGTTCAGTTCATTTCTATTGTGGTTCAGATCAGCATAAGTTAAAGGTCATGAAAAACTTGATCGACTTCTAGTTTTGAAAGGGGATTTTAATGTTCAAATTTCCCAGCGGATTTGATCATTTATCTCAAATTGAGTTAGTTATATCGAAAAGCATCAATTGTTTTTGATATTCAACGAGCTTTAAGGGCAAATATTTTCTGTAAAAGTCTTTTTCATACACAAATTTTTTTGTTTTCTTGCGTTCATTACTTTTTCCCAACTATCAGTTGGTATGTTTAGTGGCTAGTGTTTTTATGAATTCAAGAGCACATTACGTAGGTCTGATGACGCGAGACTAAAGTATTTTTGAAGGATTATTTTGCCTTTTCATTTTTTGACATATTTAGAGCGATTTGTACCGTTTTCTAGCTTGTGCTCGCAAAGCGGAGCATTGTGCAGAAGTGATTGCAAACAAGATAGAATAGTACCGAAGGGACCCTGTGGGTTTTATATGGAGGGGCCCAATTATTGGTAAGGCGGGCACCACAACTCTTCCGCTTCGACGTCAATTACATACTGGAGAGCAGTGCTCTTAGCAGAATGGTCCCTAGAAGAGAGAAAGGTCCCTAGAAGAACTATTTAATTGAGCAAATTTATAGTCAGAAACTATTAACAATACCGCTATTGAGTGTTATTTGTAAGTTAAAAGCATAAAAACAACTGAAAAAGATTATTCGAATTTTTGTCCATGTTTTCGATTTTT